AAAAAAAAAAGTGAAACTTTACTTTTAGATCACCTTGTTGTAACCTTTACTGAAGTTACTGGATAAATAAGAATAGCAATAACAGTAAGCTCATGCCTGTAATCCTAGCACTCTGGGAGGCTAGGGCAGAAGGATCACTTGAGCTCAGGTGTTTAAGACCAGTCTGAGCAAGAGCGGGACCCCCATCTCTACTACAAATAGAAAAATTAGCTAGGCATTGTAGGGGGGTAGGGGCACCTGTAGTCTAGCTACTTAGGAGGCTGAGGCAGGAGGATGGCTTCAACCCAGGAGTTTGAGGTGGTTGTGAGCTAGGCTTAGGCCACGGTACCCTAGCCTGAGCAGCAGAGTAAGACTCTGTCTCAAAGGGCAGTGTCCATAGGTCAGTGGGTAGGGCACCGGCTGGCGGCTTTGAATCTGGCCAGGGCCAGCAAAACAAGGAAGACAATTGCAACAAAAAAATTGCCGCGTGTTGTGGTGGACCGCCTGTAGTCCCAGCTACTTGGGAAGCTGAGGCAAGACAATCGCTTAAGCCCAAGAGTTTGAGGTTGCTGTGAGCTGTGACGTCATAGCACCCTACTAAGGGTGACATAGTGAGAGTCTGTCTCAAAAAAAAAAATACTTCCAAGTCAGCCCTGTTGCTTTGGCCAGAAAGCAACTAAGATGTAAACTAACTTCATTTTTAATCAGGGTTGCAAGATCTAAAGTTCGACATTTTCTCCTTTTGAATCTCTCACAGTTTGCTATTGACACAGCCAGGGAATGAGGCTGCCTGTGGGTGATTGGAGAGGGTCTCTCCTCTTGGCTTCTCGCCCTCTTCCGGAATAGGCCGCCTAGCTGGGAATCCTGGCCCTGCGTACCCGAATGGATGCAGAGATGAAATGTTGGATGTCTCCGAAGGAGCGAGCGTCTAGGGCTGGGAAGAACTCTAAGTTTACAGCCTAGCCTTGGGTGATTAAGAGAGTGTTACCATTCCAGTCGGAAATACACAAGGTAACAAAAAGAAAGGAAAAAAAAAAAGGTGCGTTACCACGGAGATGAGGCCGGTCTACGTAGCAGTCTACCATTGGCTGGGAACTCCCGGGCTGGGGATATAAACCAGCTCAGGCAGAACAGCTTACTGTGCAGATCAGTCCTGGGTGTAGCTCAGTTGGTCGTGCGTATCAGAGCAGCAGAGGGCAGGCTCGTTCAGAGGGCGTCAGCTGGACCATGGAGAACCGGTAAGCCAGACACCAGGCCCGGGAAACCCTTGGAGAGAAGTGGTGGCCATGAGACTTGGGAACCTGACACTTTGGGTCCGGAGAGTGTCAGGGGAGAGAGCGCGTGCCATGTAGATGCCGAGAGGCCTGGCACAGAGCCTGATGTCAGGGGGAAAGGCGGCAGAGTAGTACGACTGCCAACGCGAACAGGAACCGGCTGGGGAATCTAGCTGGGGCGGCGCCTCCAGAACAGGAAGGGGACCGGTTAGTGTGGTCTGCTCCGTTACAAGAAGCCGTCGCGGTCTCTCTGTGTGCTTTAGGGGTGCAGTGGAGAGGGAAGCATGTCTCCCGCACTAGGCCAAGAAGAAGTCTCCTCACCTCATACGCTCTGCGCAAATTCCCATTCTAGGGTCTAGGTAAAACCGCGAGGTACTTTTGGTGCCCAAATCCAGAGTTCTAGAGGAAAGATTGCTTACTTTCCTTGCCAGCTCCGCCCCTCCCTTCTTCCCTCCAAATTGCAAGTCTGATTAACCAGTTGAGAATGGAGTCCACATGGAGAAAAGTAAATCCTTATTCACAAAACTGAGCAACAGGCCCCTGCCCACTCCTCCGCCATCCCACACTGTTGAAAACTCTTATCTTTCCTTTGGTCCTGGAATTCCCAGTGCAGATGACCAGCATTAGGGATCATAGTTGCATTTTGATGCCCAGGGATCTAGGGTGTTCCTGGGGTATTCATAGCCAATGGAGTAAGTCCTATGAACAGTGGCTAGACATTCTCGGCGGTCACAGCTTCACACTGCATTCATGCATGTCTTGGGGTTGCTATATGATTAACTTTTTCACCCCCAACCACTCACCTATCCCTCAGCTGCTTTCCTGAGAGTAGCTTCTTGTGTTGTGGAGTCAGATCTGGTTTCCCAGGCTTTGTTTCTAAAGAAAAAATTTTCCTTTGGAGGTTTGTTTAGTAAAGTTCAGCTCTGTTACATTTCACTTCCATAAGTGAAGGCAATCTTTGGTGTCCCCAGATAAGTGTGGAAGAATTGGATTTAGAGCTATGAGAAAAGTTCTAAGTTGATTCTTGCTAGTGTAGGGATTCTGGGTTTTTGTCTTTATGTTCTGAAAAGCAAAGGTTCAAGTACCCCGTGTAAGAGGGCGGTAGATCTTTGGAACTAGTTAACTTTTTTTTTTTTTT